AAAGTAATGTACAACGAACTAGTAGAGAGCAAAGACATTCTATCACAGTATCTAAATTGAAACCTGTAAAGAAATATTATAACAGAAAATATAGCAACAATGATCAAAAATAAATTATATCAATCCATACAGAAATAGGTCGGATACCGCAGAAAAGAAAAATTAAATCAATTAACTACGATAACAATATAACTAAGTTCACAGTCTCTAAATTCAAATATGCAAAGAAAATTATAATATCCAATAAAATAGAAACTTTAATTAAACTCAAATACGTAAGAAATATTATAATGGTAAAATAAAATAGAAACTTTAATTAAATTTTCATCTGTAAAGAAATTTGTGTCGATTTCGATATGATTGATGACGTGCTTCGGAAAATGTTTTGCGATTACAATTTATATTTTCTCTAAAAAAAATATTTATCTCTATTAACTGAGTTTAATATTTTCAATTTTCAAGAGAATTCAACTAGACTTTTACATATGTACTATGGAAAATAGCTGATGAACTGTGAAAACTATGGGGAATATTGCCAAGCAAAAAAAAGACGTAACGAACTTAAGGAAACTTGCAGTTTCCTTCAGGGGTTTTAATAACGACGCTTGGCGCATTCTATAAATCAATTCTCCGAAGTGCATTTTATATAGAATCCTAGCGCTCTCCTAACTTTGCATTATGCTATATATTTCGCTTTTTAAGCGGAGCGTAATCATAATTCACCTGGATATTGTTGATGAATAAATGTATAAGTTGAAATTTCATAACCCGCACTTAATATATTAGTGTGGAAGTTAGATATTAAGAAACTTAATGAACTATAAAGAATCTTTCGCTACAAAGGTATAGAAAAAGAATCTTCTTCTTCGTGACGCTTTGATTAAGTAGGATTTGAAATGTGTCTGTTTGCGATTAGTTTTATATTATTTTTTTTTATTTTTAGCTCTATTTCTTTGATTTTTTAGCAAACTATATAAATATATCAACTTTAATTAAACGTTTAATTATCGTAAACTCTCAGTTGATTATAAACTATAGTATTTGACTTATTATACAGAGTTAATCGAAGAACTGTTTTTTACCCTATCTTTAAAACATCCTGTGCAATAATTTCGTGAGTAAATTTTCCTAAAACATTATTTTGCGGTCAAAACCATGTTTCCTGAATATTTTGTTTTTTCAACTTATCTCAACATATGCCTTGGTTAATTTTTAAGACCAAAATGAACTTTTTTCAATTATCGTTACTTTTTGTTGTTATTCTGCATAATGACGAGGTAGCTTTGGTGATTCATGTTGTGTACGATTGAATATGGTTCATAGTGTCAAAGATTGTGCAAAAGTCATTGATCTTGTTGAAAATGGCCGAAATTATGAATATTCGTTTGGTTCTTTAAGTAAAATTGGAAAACATAACACAAAAGTTTTATTAGTGTTACGAATATTTATCAAAACCAAGCCTGTATCGTGTTACTTTTTAACGTTTTTTTTAAATTTTAATATAGGGGTGTAATAAGTGTCGATATCGTCATTGAAACGTGATAACCTGCTAACTCTATTTTTTACGTTAATAAGGTTTTTATACCATTAGAAAGAGAAAAAAATACTCTATAAGTAGGGAAAGCAAATACATTTTTCCCATTAAAGAAAATTTGCAATTTTAACTCAATAATATCTGCTAACTCCATAATTTCCGTTACGATCACGCTAAAGCAAACACACGGATTCTTACTCGTATGTTTCTTTAGGACAGTACTTCGATCCAGGGTCGCACTAGGCCAAAGGGGCCCGGGTGGCAATGTAAGAAGGGGCCCGTGTGGATTTTTTTGCTTATTTTTTCGCCTTAGGTTTTGGTCAATTTTTCTCCTATTATATACAGGGTGAATCTTAAATAAATGTAAATGTTTTTAGGGGTAGTATATTTCGACCTAAGAAACACGATTATGAGGTTTTTTGGGCGATATTTTTTTTTTAAAAATTTGGAATTTTTTAAAATTTTTAGTTTAAAAACATACATTGTTTGTAATATGGCAACAGAAGTAGTAGATTAAATTTACAAGAAAGAAAATCCAATAATTCTCAAAATTATAGCAAAAAAATGGAAATTTTAAAAGTGAAATAACTCGGTTGTTTTGGATTTATTTCAAAAAACGGTAAAGAGAAACTATTATGTTTCTTTTATCGAGATTTACCAGCCCTGAAAATATTTGCACTTATTTAAGACTCACCCTGTATAGAAATCAGGGAACTACCCTAATGCAAGGTAAACCAATGCAATGCAAATGCCATAATGCAATGCAAAAGCAAATATTGTTAAGTTTATAGAAAACAAAAATTAAATATTTAGTCTTGCTAATCAGATATTCAATTTGTTTATCCCATTTTACATTAGAGTCAAAAATAATACCCAAATATTTACAACAATCAACTCTTTTTACATATATGTCTTTAATTTTTATTTCAACTAATTTAGGAACACTATCTGAGTAATTTCCAAAAGTCATGAAAACAGTCTTATCAATATTTAAAGACAGTTTATTAAGTGCAAGCCAATTTGCAACCTTATCTAGTAGTTCATTCATTTTTTTAATACTTTGCTCCCAAGTGTCCTCAGTAGCAATGATTGCAGTATCATCTGCATACGATATTATACAACCATCCTGTATGCCAATTAATAAATCATTTACATATAAAATAAACATCAATGGCCCAAGGATAGTTCCTTGAGGCACTCCAATAGTTACATCTTTATTCTCGCTTATATAATCATTAATTTTAACTCTCTGCTTTCTATGCTCAAGATAACTTTTCATTAGTTCATTGGCCTTGCCTCTAATTCCCATACATGAAAGCTTATCCAATAATATACCATGATCTACCGTGTCAAAGGCTTTTGCCAGATCTAAAAAAGTTATTAATACTGGTTTGCTTTTGTCTAATTTGTTATAAATGATGTTAGTTATATGATTTAAAGCGTCTGCAGTTCCTATTCTTTTAATAAAACCAAATTGTTTTTTAGATAAAATATTACAATTTATAATAAATTTATAAATTCTTGAATGAACAATTTTTTCAAAAATTTTTGCAATATTCGAGATTAAAGAGATAGGTCTGTAGTTAGATACCATAGATTTACTTGAACTTTTATGTATGGGAACTATATCAGCTAATTTAAGTGCTACCGGCCAAGTCGATTTCTCGATGCATAAGTTGAATATGTAACTTAGTGGCTCTACTATAAAATCAGCAATGGTTTTTAATACTTTAGTATTGATCATATCGACTCCACCATTTTTGAATTCAAATTTAGTAATTATATTATAAATCTCTATAGGACTGGTAGGTTCTATGAATATAGTTTTCTTATTTAATTTTGGCATTCTCAATGACTGATCCAGTGGCTTTACTATTTTATTACTCAATTTTCTTCCAACTGAGCTAAAATAATTATTAATTGTATTTACTATCTGTAAGTTGTCAGTAAGTTTTTGGTTGTTCTCGTTTATTAAATAGTCAATCTTTGTTTCTTTTTTGGTTTTCTTTGATATTTTAGCATTTACAAAATCCCACAGTTTTCTTGTGTTATTAGCGTTGTTTCTAATTTGATTCTTATCAAAATTTATTTTAGCATGTTTAATAATTATACTTAGCCTATTCGTAAATTGTTTGTACTTTAATTTTAATTCATCATTGCTTCTATCTTTAATCCACTCATGGTACAGTTTATCTTTCTTATTACATAATTGTATAATATCATTAGTAATCCAGTTCTTTCTATGTCTCGTTTTCTTATTGTTCACAATCATTGAATTACTAATACAATTTTTAATGCTCGAGATTAGAAAATTAATAGCAACATCTGGATCATTCATATTGTACACTTCATTCCAGTTAGTGTAACATGCATTGTTCAATAATATGTTGTAGTTTATATTAAAATTTTTAGTTTGTTTTATTTCTTGAAATAGTTTATTCTTTTTTATTTTAACAAGTAGAGTATAATGATCCGTTATAGTATTTTTAATTGTATAAGTTTTTACATTTAAGTTATCAATTTTATAAAAAATATTATCAATGCAAGTCCCACTAATATTTTCTGTATTCGATGGTCTAGTGGTGTTCTGGAAACCTGGTACAAACCCCATTTCAAGAAAATTATTTAAAAATTCTTGCGAGTAAATATCACATTTTAGCAAATCAATGTTGAAATCACCAACCACAAAGTGATTTCTATATTTTTTAACTTCATTTAAATATGATTTTAAATCATAAATAAATTCAGCCTTGGTTATACTATGAGATCTATATAAAGCCGATATTTCAATGTTGTTACCATTATTCATTTTGATAGAAGTGTTTATTATATTTAATTTATTAACCTCGATAATTTCAGTTTCCTCTATGATATCACTTTTTATATAGATAACAACACCGTCAGCCCTATTTAACTTACTTTCATTGTAATACATTCTATAGCCTGCCAAATTATAAAAATTATTATTTACAATGTTCCAAGATTCAGTACAACAAATATAAAAAGGTTTGATATACAAGCTTGCAACAAAAATTTCTAGACTTTCAAAATTAGCATCTATGCTCCTAATATTTATATTTAGTACTATATTATCATTACTATTAACATTTCTATTGAAAGCTTCCACATCATTACAGCTTTCTTCACTATGTATCAAATCTTTCTGTATGTTATCAAGAAAATCCAAATTAAGAGCCATTATTATTTCTTGCAATATTTGTTGCCTTCTTACTTATGATAGTACTTGTGTTGTTGAGTGGATTATATGGATAGTCTGTTTTAGCGATGCATTTACCAAGAAGTGCTTTGTAAGATGGGCAGATATTCCTATTTCCAGCTGCATGGTTGATCGGCCTATTTTGGTTATATCTATTATTAAAGTCTATACAATTAGAACATTTAGTGTCGTCCTTTTGTTGACAGTTTTTGCTCGAATGATTCTGAGCACAATAACCACATGTTTCATTATTTCTACATTTCTTACTACTATGACCATACTTTGAACACTTGTAACATATGTTTAAGTTGAAATCATCAAACACAGGACATCTATTCGTTCCAACATAAAGTTTCTTGGTATCCATGATTTTAGCATAAGAACACGAACTTACTTCAACTATAATAGTCCATATTTTATTGTCTTCATTTAAGTATTTATACACAATGTCAAATTTATCAGCTTCATCTTTCAGATCATTACGTATTAAGATATCTTCCTTTATATTTTCTATGTTTTCATTTCCCAAATCATAATCAATATTTATCACTTTGATTCTTGGGTTATTCTTTTTTTCAACCTCGACAGAAATTTCATCATTAGAAATTGACCCTAGTAGTTCTTTAGTTTCAGTAATATCCATAGATCTATTACATTTGATGATAATTTTATCTTTAGTTCTTGTTATTTTATTATATTGGATATTTTTGTTTGTTGTTAATAACTGTTTAGTTTTATTGTGCACATTGTTTATTTGTTCTTTTTTGTTACACTGGACGATAATAGCTGGTACAATCTCGGTATTTTCAAATTTGTTATAGGTTACTTTCGTAGCTTGTGCAAATGATTTCATCTCAATTTGATTTTTTTGTTTTTCTAAATTAACTAGTTTCTCTTTAATCAAAGTTAGGTTTCCATTTTGCAAAATTATGTTTTGTTTTAAGACATTATTTTTATCTGTAATTTCTTCTATTAGTTGATCTTTATCATTAATTTTGTCTTTGAGCAAATTGATAATTGAGTCACTTTTAGTAACAGAAACTTCATTGGTGACATGACTAGTTAGATCATTGGAAGGATTATTATTATTTTTTAGTATCATTCTTCTGAGATTTTCATTTTCTAAAGCTAGTTTATTCTTGTTTTGTATTACTTTTTTGAGAAGCAGTTTTAGCAAACCCATATCACATTCGGAGTCTAAATCTATATTGGTATTTGAGGTTATGTCATCATTACCACAACATATAATAGTACTTTTATCTATTATTTTAAATTTATCATAGTCTCTCAAAAGACAACTAACATGATAGACCTTGCCACACAATATGCAATTAATGGAGCTACAAGCTTTTTTAGCACAACACTGATAGCTATAACTTTTTAACTTAATATTAGGCGGGACGGGATGAGATACGTCATCCTCGTCCGCCATCTCGGATGATACTGATTAGTTTTATATTATTTTTTTTTTATTTTTAGCTCTATTTCTTTGATTTTTTAGCAAACTATATAAATATATCAACTTTAATTAAACGTTTAATAAACTCTCAGTTTATTATAAACTATAGTATTTAACTTATTATACAGGGTTAATCGAAGAACTGTGCAATAATTTCGTGAGCAAATTTTCCTAAAACATTATTTTGCGGTCAAAACCATGTTTCCCGAATATTTTGTTTTTTCAACTTATCTCAACATATGCCTTGGTTAATTTTTAAGACCAAAATGAACTTGCTATGAACACTTGCAATTTTTTCAATTATCGTTACTTTTTGTTGTTATTCTGCATAATGACGAGGTAGGTGATTCATGTTGTGTACGATTGAATATGGTTCATAGTGTCAAAGATTGTGCAAAAGTCATTGATCTTGTTGAAAATGGCCGAAATTATGAATAATTGGAAAACATAACACAAAAGTTTTATTAGTGTTACGAATATTTATTAGAACCAAGCCTGTATCGTGTTACTTTTTAAAGTTTTTTTAAATTTTAATATAGGGGTGTAATAAGTGTCGATATGACATCACTACAATAGACACCAAAGCCACCTGGTGATATTAAAAAATAACATCATGAAGTAATGAAAATTGAAAAAATTGCAAATTGTTGGTGGCAAGTTCATTTCGCTCTTAAAAACTAACCAAGGCATGTGTTGACATGAGTCAAAAAAGAAAAGCTCAGGAGATATGGTTCTGATCGAAAAATAATGTATTAGGAAAAGTTACTCACGAAATTATTGCACTGGGTGTTTTAAAGTTATTGTAAAAAACAACCCTTCAATTAACCCTGTATAATAAACGGAATACTAAAGTTTATAAAAAAACTTAGTTTATGAATTAAAGTTGATAGATTTATATACAAGGTGTTTCAAAAAACATGTGCCATATCTCGTGGGGAAATTTCTCACGTAAAAATATGATTTATTTTTCATATCAACGTAGGTTCGATTCTACTTTGTTTCGTGGCTACAGAGGGTGTTAAAGTCTTATTTTTTTTCGATTTATTATAATTTTCATTAAGTGCTTTTACCGACTCCAATGAAATTTGGAGGGTAAAAATTAGTATATATACGTCCTACATATTTTAATGCTAAGAAAGTGTCGATAAATTCATCAGGGACGTGCATATGGGTTATTACTGGAATATTTTTCGAAAAAAAACATGTACACCACTGACTTTTTTCTTTTGATAGCAAAATTGTGTAGGCTGTTTAATATCAATTAAAAGTTGTATCTTGATATTTTGTCGATTTCGATTTCCTTGATGAGATAAATTTAATTTTATTAATCACAATTGATAAAATTAAATTAAATTAAAAATAAAATTAATAAATTATTTATTTCACGTAATTTATTATTAAATATTATTACTATTAGTTATAATTATTATTTGTCCTACCTACAGAAAATTCAGATAAAAAAATAATGGAATTTAAGATAATTACAAAAAGACCTAATTTTAAATAATTTTAACATCCTGTAATTTTAAAACTATGCATTTCCACATCTATATTTAAAGGAAATTTTTTCATATTTTTTGATGAGGAACCAATGAGTACTTATTTAAAATTATCGCAAGTTAATGATATTAAATTTTTTTAAAGGTTGCTATTAGATTTGGATCAAAGCAAATTAATAAAATTGCGTTTATCTCATCAAGGAGGCCGAAATCGGCCATTTTTAATCAGCCATTAAACGACTTCCACTATTTCTCTAACAGTCTACACAAAAAAGTCTACACAGTCTTTGTCGAAAAAAAAAGTGAGTGGTGTACGTGCTTTTCTTAGAAAAATATTCTAGTGGTAACCCATATATGCATGTCTCTGGTGAATATGGCGACAGTTTTTAGCGTTTAAATATGTCGCATTTATAGTAACTTTTACCCCCAAAATTTTATTGGAATCGAAAAAAGCACTTGGAAGAAAATTATAATAAATCGAAAAAAAAATAAATCTTTAACACCCTGTAACCACGAAACAAAGCAAAATCGGACCTATGTTAATATGAAAAATAAATCTTATTTTTACGTGAAGAATCTCCTCATGAGAGATGGTACATGTTTTTTGAATAACCCTGTATACAGTTTGCTAAAAAAATCATGAAAATAGGACTAAAAGTAAAAAATATAAAACTTTAAACTTGCGTTTTTTTTTGCATCTGAGTGTATAACTCTTATTAAACTCTCTGCGTATAAAATACTCTCTAAAATAACATTTTTAACAAATAACACAAAGGTTACTGCTTCAAAGAAAGGATTTTTACCGGCCATCAGTCCATCTCACGAACTTTCAACTTATCCAATGACCGCAATCCATTAGGTAAAGGTCGAGAGAATATATTAAGTGGAAGTAGGTGGATTTTCTAACCCCACATTCGTTCCATTTATATCGGAGTGATTTGTGAAATATGCGGACTCGCTTTTGTCCGGCGAGAAGATGAACATCGTTTTTGTTAAATTGAACGGGTTGCAACAGTTTCGATTTATCATTAATCTCTCTTAAATTGTAACTGCTTCTATACAGGGTGAGTTTCCTACGATGTTCTCTATGGGTATCTCGAAAACTACTGGAGATAGAGAGTCGGTTAAATGGGGAAAGAATTGCGGTTTTGTGAGGTCAAGAATATGCGCCTTTCAGATTTTTGAAAAAGTATATGGCTTACAAGATATTCTAAGCAAACTAGATATAAAAAGCAAATTTCGGCTATTTTAAAAAATATAATAATTTATACGAAAAAAAATATCATTTAATTATTCTAAAAATGTTAGGAAGTATAATTTGTAGAAACTCTAAAAATAAATATAAAAAACTAAATATTTTGATATTTTCAGAAGATCTAACTGATTATTTCAGTTAAAAAAAAACTTTTTAGATGAGTTAAACTACGGTAGCGAGCATAGGTTTAATCACTGGTTTTGCTAGTGGGGCATATTTAGGGCTATTTCGGCTATAACGAAATTTTTTAAAGGTACATAGTTATAAATAAAACATTTAATCACTAGTTGATTAAAATAAAAATTATTGCAAATTATATTTTATCCTCTCATAGTATATGTCTTATATGTCTATTTAATTTTTTGATTATGTAACAAGCACTTTGTTTACTCACTTGTTTCGTTGAACTGCTTGAATCGATTTTTGTTTTTGAAAAAATCGGTTTAAGAAACTATGAAGCTATAAAATGTTGTTTCGGGAAAGTTGAGTTATTGAATGTTATTGCACCCAACAACGCCCTAATTGCGTTCTCTTTTACATTTTTTCGGCAATTTTATTAGCATTTGAAATTGTCACAACACAACACGACGCTTAGTTTGAATTCTTTTTCACTTATCCTGTACTACCCGAAACAGGGTTACATTACACAAACCTCGTACTTGAGTGTTTTATGGTCTCATTTGTTTGTGTCATATGTCAAAAATGACAGGCTCTCTTTAAGAATGTGATTATCTACAACATTTCTCTGAAAACTTTTTGTCTAAAATAGATTTTAATGGAATTAGGGAGCATTTTTAAAATAGCCGGAATTTTGGAAATTGGAAAATAAACTTTTTCAAAAATCCCAGAGGAGCATATGTTTGTCCTAACAAAACTGCAAACTCAATCATATTCAAATTTAGAATGCCACTTTATCTAAAACCTATACATGCGAAACCTGGACACTTAAGGGACATTATAAGAAAACTGCAGATCGCAAAACGCTCAATGGAACGAAATCTGCTGAGACCAAAAACTATCCTGTGGGATACGACAAAAGACCCAGGTAATTGATGTCCTCAACAGAATCAAATCCCTCAAGTGGCAATGGGAAGGACCCCTGGCAAGAAGGACGGACAACAGATGGGCCACAAAAATTACAGCATGCTACCAATGAGAAATTAAGAGACCGAGAAGAAAACCAAACCCCTGAGATAACCATGATATTAGGAAATTAGCAGGGATAACTTGAACCCGCATAGTAAACAGTAATCAACAATGGGCCCAACTACTATTATAGTTTCTATACTTAGTAATTTTTATAACTTACTGACTATCCTGATATTAATATAGGTAGGTAACTGCCACGCCCTTTCTAATTTGAAGTTCAATAAAACACAAAGTTTACTTAATCTGAATGAGTTGCATAGAGGCCACTAGCTTTTTAATTTTAACAGCCGGGTGGTCGGGATTCAAAGATATTAATAAAAGGGCGCCACGAGATTATACTCTATGAACTCGGCAATAAAGATGTAACTATTAAGTAGACTTCAACACTAACCTCGAACTGTTGAGTGCAACTATCATGAAGTTCAAATATTCTATAACTATTTGTACTTAAGTGACTCTAACTTAACTGTGAGACTAGACTGTAAATAAGACTACTAAAAATATTTAATCAATTTATTAAACTATGAAAAAGTTAATATATATAAAGTAACGAATGAAATGTAAGAGAAATGAAATGTGTTAAGAAAAGCAAATTGAAATGTACGAAAAGAAGATAGAATTTAAATCAAATGAGAAATAACTAAACCTATGACGTCAAACCCCCTTATCTAACTTAATACTAGATACAATCAGGGTGGTTTATACCCATAAATCCAATCTAAAATTATACAAATATCTAAACAGTCTTACTCTACTCGATGTGATATACTTGAAAACTTCCTCCGGCTGAGCTACGGCGTATAGCTACAGGGTTGTTAAGGCGGTGTACAGCAGCTCGGTGTATTATCACTGGAGCCCACGGATGTCAGCAGAGGTACAGGTGAAAGGTAGGTGTTGAGATTTCAGATGGTGAACATAAAAAACCCTAAATCATATTGGTTGACT